GATAATGTGAATATGCTAGACTTCCTAATTGCAGAATATTCACTATTTCCTGAAATTACTGGTTCATGCAGAATTAAGCTTCAGCTGTTATTGTTTTGAAGCCGCTGTAAATTACTGCTTTCCCCCCTTTTTCCTCCCCTCCCCTTTTTTGAACGGGCGGGGGTGCCTGTTAAAATTAGAGATGTTCTATGATATTCTCACGTGTTCAGTGTGGAAAACAAAACAAGTACATGCTTTAGAGGCAACAACATTGAAATCCTTTGGAAATGTGTATTATCACTTAATAAAATAACTAGTTCTCAAGGTTTGACATTTTTCTTTGAGATTTGGGGCTTCAACCAAGGGCCCCTGGCTTCTCTGGTGAGTGCAAAGAGTAGGAAACTTCTCCAGGAGCTGAAGTTGCTGCTTTGTGGCGAAGGCCTGTCCTTGGAATATCTACATTTTCTCCAGCAAAGCCCCTACATGACTGTCCAGGGCTGAAGGTGAAACCAACTACAGAATGCAAAAAGAAAAGCCTGGATACATCTCTGAAGATATGATTGGATTGGCTTTGGTCTAAGAGTGTGGGGAAAGGATGGTTGGTGTGCCTGCACACTTCGGAGGCTCACACAGATACCGCAGACCACCCATCTCGTCCCTTCCTTGTGACCATATGCACCTTCCTCTTCCAGCCATTCCTTTCTTTTTTTAAGTCTGTTTGTCTCCAATATTACGTTTTTGTTTTCCAGTTTAATAAAGTATGGTTTCCTTTGTGGTGTGGTTGGCTCTTCCCCTCTCACATTGATCTTGTCCAGCTGTCCCCTTTGACTTCTGCACTTGGTGTCTCTGAAGGCAATCTGAATCTCTAAAATTCATGGCCGTGTGGGTTTTGTTTGATCCTTTGTGTAATTCAGTTTTGGAAAGGGATTATGGGTGGAATGAGATCAAAGATGTTCAGGGAGTGGCTGGTGGTGACCTGGGCTATACTGTGTGGATAATTATTTGTGTATGTCTCCAACAAGTACAATTGTGAGCAAAGAAGCATTTGTAAAGCAAGCTTAGGATTTGGAGAGATGACGGGTCCTCTGGCCATTTCTGTGCCCACATCTACCCTTTGTTGCTGCATATTAGCAATCTGTCCTACAGAAACCACACAACCCTTCTTTCTTGCCCCATCCCTTTTCCATAACCCACAGAGGCTTAAAGAATGGAATGTGGGCTCTCGGGTAGAGAGAGTCACGGGCAGGCATCTAGATCAGGCCTGGGTCACTGGCAGGATAGAGGCTCTAAATAGCAGCCTTGCTTATGTGAAGCTAGACACGTCACCAGAAATTCAGAAATAGCAGCGGCCTGGGAGCACCCAGAGGCAGGGTGTACCGCTGAACTGACTGCCGCTGGAATCTGGCTCACCCTTTCTTGTCCCCTCGGGACCTGACTGCCCACCTGATTCTTGTCTCCACCCTCACGGAAGCAACAGCTTTTAGACTTTCTCATTGGCTTTTCTGGGCATGTTGGAAATGGATCCTTCCCCCAAAATTGTTTTTAGGCCAGTCTGGTATAGGAGGGATGAGTTACTCCCCCATGTATGTAGATACAGTAACACAAACACCATCTGAGTGGATTTAGGGTACTGGGGTGTTTCTCATACTTGTTTATGAGTAACTGTATAGACAAGTCCGGTCAGCTGCTGCTCACAATTGCTGAGTAATAACTCACTGAGGCTGCCTAGACAAAGCTGCTAAAGGGGCGTGAGTGAGACATGGGCTCCTAAGTAAACATCCTGTTCTTCCCCCACGTAGAAGAAAAAACTGCATGCGTCAGGTTAAAAGAGCAAGTCAAGTGCAGTGTAAACCATCAAATTCTGACTGCTGGGGGAGAACAGGAGGAACCTATGTTTATGCGTTTGAGAGGAAGGGGATAAGGCTGAGATCTATGTAGAAATTGACACTGCAGTTACCTATGGTTCCTTTATTTTTTCCTTTGTGCTCACTGTGGCAAGAGTCAAAAGTTGAGAATACAGATGTGGGTGGAAGGGCTAGTGAGCAGTGCCAACAGAGAAGACACAAATCCAGGCCCCAGCTTTTTGTGTTTGACTCAAAGGGGTGTTGGCTAAACCAGTCCACCCTGGATCTGCTGGGGTTCGTAGCAAATTCAATGTTCCAGAACGTCCTTATTTTTCTTATTACTTCCTTATGTGTTTTTTAAACCTCACCAACGGATGTTTATTGATTTGAGGGAGGGAGGGAGGGAGAGAGAGAGAAGAGAGAGACGAGAGAGAGAGAGAGAGAGAGAGAGAGAGATATTTGTTGTTCCACTTATTTATGCCTTCATGGGTTGATTCTTGTATGTGCCCTAACTGGGGATTGAACCTGCAACCTTTGGATATTGGGACGATGCTCTAACCAACTGAGCACCCAGCCAGGGTAAAGCTGTGCTCTTTTTAATGATAAAATACTGTGTTCTTTCTAACTTGAGAGAGAGAGAGAGAGAGAGAGAAACATTGATGTGAGAGACAAACAGATTGGTTGCCTCCCATACCCGCCCTGACCAGGTATCGAACCCACAACCTAGGTATGTGCCCTGACCAGAAATCAAACCCAAAATCTTTTGGTGCACCTGGCAAGGGCTCCCTCCCCCCTTTTATTTTAATATGTTTTTATTGAATTTTTGGAGAGGAATAGAGAGATAGAAACATCAATGAGAGGAACATCATTGATTGGCTGCCTCCTGCACGGCCCCCACTGGGGGATCAAACCTGCAACTGAAATACGTGCCCTTGACCGGATTTGAACCTGGGACCCTTCAGTCCGCAGGCCGATGCTCTACCCACTGAGCCAAACCAGTTAAGGCAAGGGCTCCCCTTACTTTTGAGAATTACTTTGCTGCGTAATTTGTGGAAAAGAGATGAGGACTTGAGACCTCTTACATTTTTCTTGGGGTAACGCAGTTGAAATGCATGGAGAGACAGGAGATGGGTGGCACCCTGTGCTTCAGTTTTGCCCTCCCCTGGCTAGGAATTCTTTGCACCTACACGGGACAGTTCAGGCCCCATATCTCCTAGGCAGCCAGGCATTGCCAAAGGCAACAGAGACTAGTAAAGGATGGATTTGAAATCTTGGTTACTGGGGAGTGGGCCTTAATTGCCTTCTGTAGATGTGTCTAGGACCTTCTTTTGGAGTACTTTGATCTTTCCTTTGTTTTTTACTTAAACATCGAACCTCAGTTGACATCCCTGCACTGGTTCCTGTGTTTGGGAGACTTCTCTGTTTTTCCTTTGCAGGGTCGTTTAAGAGGTGGCAGGTAGAAGTGGCTGTTTCCTTGTTTCTCTTCTATAGACTCAGGAGATGTCTTGGGGAAGGGAACTAGAGGATTTAGGTGCACCCAAGGCTTTGTTTTCAAAGCCAAGTTCAACTTATTTCCATGCTCCTAATAGGAAGATTTCCCCCCTTTATTTACTCAGCAAACTTGGTTGAACTTCTTCTCTCTTCATGGCATCTTAAAGCAATGTTACAGTAAAAAGCTTGGCCCCATCCTAGATCTTTATTACTAAGGGAAAAAGCTTTTTAATAAACCAAAACTCCCCATACCACCTGCTGTACCTCTAGACACTTGGCTAATTGGGTGAGCCTCAAAAGCATTTGGTGGCAATGATATAAACCTTTATATATTTTATCTTCTTAAATTTATCTTTTTTACCTCCAATATCTTTTCTGTCTCTTTGATGCAGGGAATTTTTGCTTCTAAGAGCTAATATAGATTTGGAAGTATGTGTTCATCTGAGGATAAGTGGGAAATGTTCTTTACCTTCAGCGGAGAGCATTCTTATATATAAGATTATAACAACAATACCACCTCAAAGCTTTAGCTCACTATAAGATGTCTATTTTAAAAGTGAAGTAAAACTGAGAATCTCCCAAAACTTGATTAAGGGTCTAGGATACCCTTAACTGAGGATTCCCTTTTCCCTAGACTTCTGTGAAATCTGGCATTATTTCTTGAACACTTCTTTTTCCTTATCTTTAGTCTGCTAGAAAAAATTTTCTTGGCTTTTTATTGAACTCCTCTCTCCAACCTATATATTAAAGCCTTTGGGGCCCCAAATGCTCCAAGTAGTGTATCTGGAGAGTAAGCGGAGCCGTGCTACCAAACATGATGCAGTCTGACTCTTCTGGTGTCTAAGAGGCAGCAGAGCATGGCATAGTATATAGGCTTTGGATTCAGAGATTGGGACTTCTCTGAGGGTAATTTTCCATGTTATAAAGGGAGCATAAGAGCTACTACTTGTCAGGGTTTTTTATAGGAATTAAGATAGTGAAGACAAGCACTTGGCACATAGTAGGTGTTCAGTGATACTCTGGATGGAAATAAGAGCAGTTTTAGGGATGCTTCCCAGGCAGGCTAACTGGTTAAAATTCCCTGAGGCTGAGATAGAGTAGGCACAATTCAGAAATGGTAGCAGAACCGGCGATGAACGAATTGGCCTTAGCTAGCTTGCTTTTGCTGGCTTGCTTGCTACAGAAGGAGAAATTGAATAACTTGAAATTCCTTCCTTCATTGCAGCACAGGTTACATAGGCGATGATGTAGTTGTTGATTGGTCAGCATCCCACACACAGCTCAGTGCACTGCACGTAGTGAGTAGCCAGTAAATGTTTGAGGGATGAGTATAGGAAGCTGCCATAATAATGGAGCTTACTTATTCCACCATCTCTCTATTCTCCACACACAAAAAGGACAGGGTAGAATGATTAAAAAATGTGTGTCAGTATATGTATCCTTTGGAGTTTCAACTCAATACAATGATTGGTACATTCTTAATTCAATAATTTATTGAGCACCTGCAATGTAACACTCCTGTCCTTTTTGGTGCAGAGCTATGGAAAGAATTCTGCCTCTTTTCACACTTTGTGAATGCCACTTAAAAATCCTCACTTACCTTTTCCCAAACAGACAGACAGACACACACACACACACACACACACACACACACACACGTGATATCCCTTTTCCACAGTCTTATTTCTTTTTGTATTTCAGGGTGTCTAACATGTAAGAAGATGGAGCCAAGATCTAGAATGGTGCCTGTGACTCAGATCAACTGCTGTCTTTCCCAGACAGAACCTCTGGCCTCCGGAAACCTAGATTAAACAGCATTTTCTGACAGCTCTTCCTCCTCAGTCCTTGATTCCATCACCACTGGAAACTTGAGCACCAACTCTAACCACCCCCACCCCCAGGTGAGGGCACTAATGGGAATCACTGAGAACCTCATAGCTGGCTCCAAGTCCACTTTCCCTCTCACTTGACTAAAATCTGACTGAGATTTTGTTTTTACTGTGTAAGAAAACAAATATCCCTAGTCCTGTATCCTAGATATGGTATGGAAAGAGAAAAGAAGGATAAAGGAAGTTGAAAGCCAGAATGGGGATGAGAGGCAAAGGTCTTGCGTAGGAAGCAGAGAGCCAAGATTCTGGGTCAGGCACCTCTTTCTGAAGTAAACACTATGACCAGTGGTGAGAAGCACAAGACTTGGATTAAATCCAGCATTAGCACTTAAACTGTTTGACTTTAAATCACTTAACTTCTCTGACTTTACTAGTAAATTTCTCATCTATAAGATTTAGAGGTCTCCTAGGTCCCTCTTAAGCACCATGAGTCTGAAGGGACTCCAAGAAGTGCCCTCTGCAGATGCTCTGTTCCAGAAAAACACCCCAGAAGGTGATGAATCAATTGACCTCCTCCTGAGCCATTTTTAAAAAATATATATTTTATTGATTTTTTTACAGAGAGGAAGGGAGAGGGAGAGAGAGTTAGAAACACCGATGAGAGAGAGTGACATCGATTAGCTGCCTCCTGCACACCCCCTACTGGGATGTGCCCGCAACCAAGGCACATGCCCTCGACCAGAATTGAACCCAGGACCCTTCAGTCCCCAGGCCGACGCTCTATCCAGTGAGCTAAACCAGCCAGGGCTGCTCCAGCTCTTAAAGCTGTTATATTAATTTATTCTAGTGGTTTGTCCATACTGTTGCCCATTACCTTATACCAGGGGTCCTCAAACTTTTTAAACAGGGGGCCAGTTCACTGTCCCTCAGACCGTTGGAGGGCCGGACTATAGTTTAAAAAAAAAACTATGAACAAATTCCTATGCACACTGCACATATCTTATTTTGAAGTAAAAAAACAAAACGGGAACAAATACAATATTTGTATTTGCATGTGGCCCTCAGGCCGTAGTTTGAGGACCCCTACCTTATACCATGCATTATATTAGATGATTTACATAAAATAAACGTCAACAATTGGGAGCAATACTATTATTCCCATCTCATAGATGAGCAAACTGAAGCATAGAAAAATAATTTATCCAGAATTACATAGTGAATGGCAGGCAGATTCAGGATTTACACTAGGTCCGTTTGGTTTCAAATCTATGCTCTTAAGTGTTTCCTATTTGCTAGTAAAGACTATGTAAAAATACATACATGGTTAATTGGAAGTTACTGACTACCCTTTCTGGTCCGTTTTTCTCCCACTCTCACTCCAGAGTTTTCTTGCTCCTGTCCCCAAACCCTCAGGACCTCTTATTGCTACTTTGGGCTGAAACTGCAGGTGTCGGATTGCCGGTGTAACCGTGTAAGTCTTCCGATCATCCGGAACCACCCACATCGCTGCTGTTGCTGTGTGGGGTGGACGTACCTCTTCTCATTTCCTGGGGGTGGTTCCAGGCTAGAGTGGCAGCTGTAGTAACCAATAGGCATGGGTATTGTCGGGCCAGGGGCCAATGAGGAATCCACTGAGGGAAAAGGGGATCATTTGGTTGAGGATGTAAGCACCGGAGGAACATGGGGCTCTACCAGAGGTGGCGGCGGCTCCGGCTCCCAGGGTTACAAGCCTGCGGGCTACACACGGCGCTTGAGGTACCCCAAAGTTCCGAACCCCCCAAAGCCCAAGGTGTAGGTTCTCAACCCAGCCGGACCCCCCTGCTCCCGCCCTGAGTCCCGAACCGGCTACTCTGGCCTTTTTTTTTAATTAATATGTTTTTATTGATTTCAGAGAGGAAGGGAGAGAAAAGAGGGATAGAAACATCAATGATGAGAGAGCATCATTGATTGGCTGCCTCCTGGACGCCCCACAATGGGGATGGAGCCCACAATCGGGCATGTGCCCTGACCGGGCGTTGAACCATGACCTCCTGGTTCATAGGTCGATGCCCAACCGCTGAGCCACTGCGGCCGCCGTTTGAAGCGCTTTTTCCCAGGGTCAACCGCCTGCGGAGCCAGGACTCCTAACGTAGGGCCCTGGAGCATCCCTTCCTTTTAAAGCAGTGGCTCTCAACCTTGGCTGCACATTAGAATCACCTGCGAATCTTTAAAATCCTGATTTCTGGGCCTCATCCTCCGGAAATTCTGTTTCTTTGTTATGGGAGGCCACTACATTAGTAACAAAGAAACAGAATTTCCGGAGGATGAGGCCCAGAAATCAGGATTTTAAAAGATTCGCAGGTGATTCTAATGTGCAGCCAAGGTTGAGAACCACTGCTTTAAAGACTAGAAATTAGGACCCCGGCCACTTCAATGCCCTCATCTCCCACCATCCCCAATCCCAGGAATAACTGATGGGACCTGTGTTACCTCCTAACGTATTTCCCACCAGGCAGCTGTGCCGGCTCCTCCACCCTGTTTGGTAGAGCGGCTTGGCCTTTTTGAGGAGCTATGGGCTGCACAGGTGAAGAGGTTAGCAGGCATGGCACAGAAGGAACACCGGACTATTAAGGTAGCGCTCCCCGGAGGACAGAAAGTGGAGGCCGTGGCATGGAACACAACCCCTTACCAGCTGGCCCAGCAGATCAGGTACCAGGCCCCTTCTCTACCTACCAGTATTACTCTCCCACCTCTGCGTCCTCTGCACCTGAGCAGAGAGAGAAAACTCTGCTTGTTTCTGTTCCATGCCATCAAGATAGCTTTAACTACCAGTTCGTTTTTTTTATCTGTGTTAGTTTCAGAGTCTCTGTCCTTGCTCTATTGTCCTTGGGGGAGGAGGGAGGAGAAACAGTAGGTTCTATTGCTCTGGTAACACAGTCCCCCTTTGCAAGTTGAGCCCCTCTTTTTCCATGTGGATTGTAACCCTCTCATTTTCTTTATCTCCACCCCATCCCCATTGTTGAAGTTCAACCCTGGCAAATACTGCAGTGGCCGCTCAAGTGAATGGAGAACCTTATGATCTGGAGCGGCCCTTAGAGACAGATTCTGACCTCAGATTTCTGACGTTTGATTCTGCAGAGGGGAAAGCAGTAAGTGTCTTCTTTGTCACAAATACAGTGGCTACTAAACTGAGATATTTAAGTGGGTGTTTGTAACATTTCTTTTGCCTGAGTTTTTCCATTTTCACTTGGGAGGGAGACTTACCGCAGATAGCTTATCTTAACTATTCCTAGCTAAGCTGGAAACTTATGATGAAAGTTTTTACTAAGCCTAGGTCTCTTATAAGCAGACATCATTTGTGTTAGTGAAAGGGAGAAGTAATAAGTTGAAAACTTATTAGGATGATATTGAGATACCCATTATAAGTTATCTGTAGCAAATATTTAATTTTAACGTGGCTTCCACAACTGAGCATAACAACCAAGCCTCGTCCCCATTTTGTCCTCTTCATGTCAGCTTAGGTAATGTGGACCTCATGTATTAGGATGCAGAAAAATTGAGTTCTCATGTCATTTATTTACAAATGACCAAATCCGAAAGCAGTGGTTGCATCACACTGGATTCCTGGCTAAGGGGCAAGAAAAAGGACCAAAAGACTGAGCAGAGCCTTTAAGAGGCAGTCTTACCGAGTAGTTTACTCTGAAGCCCTATAAGAGATGTTATAGGAGAGCAAAGGAAGCTGCCTGGCTTCCTCTGACCGGGTAGCCCTGAGGAGTGGGGTAGGAGGGTACTCTCTTCTGTGCCCTTTTCTACTGACCTCTGCTTTCTTTTCTATTTTTTTTTCCTTGTCACTATGTAATTGTCACCACCTCCATTATATGATAGTTATTCCTAGAAGAGCCATACTGGTTTCACACCAGCTTCTTGGAGGAGAGGATCCAGAGCGAGGGGGTAAGGGAGGTTAGGACTCATGAACTTCTTTCCTGTGAACCCAGGTGTTCTGGCATTCCAGCGCCCATGTCCTGGGGGCAGCGGCTGAACAACTCCTAGGTGCTGTCCTCTGCCGAGGGCCCAGCACCGAGTGCGGCTTCTACCATGATTTCTTCCTGGGAAAGGAACGGTGAGCAGTGCAAGGAAGGGGGAGAATGATGGTTTCTTTTGTGAGACTTCACCTTTTCCCCCAGGTTTTTTGAGGCATAATTGACAAAATTGTAGTATTTTTAAAGTGTGTAGTGTGATAATTTGATATTCATATACATTGTGAAAGGATTCCCACAATCTAGTTAATTAACCCATCACCTCACATTTTTTGTGTTGTTTTTTTGTTAATCCTCACCTGAGGATATTTTTTCCATTGCTTTTCATGAGGAGTGGGAGAGAGAGAGAGAAACATAAATGTGAGAGAGAGACACGGACTGGTTGCCTCCTGCACACATTCTCACTGGAGATGGGGAGCAAACCTGTAATCCAGGTACGTGCCCGGGACCAGGAATCGAACCTGAGCCCCTTTGGTGCTCTAACCACTGAGCAACCAGCCGGGACGACCTCACCTTTTTTTTTTTAAATATATATCTTTATTGATTTCAGAGAGTCAGGGAGGGGGAAAGAGAGATAGAAACATCAATGATGAGGGAAACATCATTGATTGGCTGCCTCCTGCACGTCGCCTACTGGAGATCAAGCCCGCAACCCAGGCATGTGCCCTTGATCGGAATCGAACCTGGGACTCTTCAATCTGTAGGCCGACGCTCTTTCCACTGAGCTAAACCAGCTAGGGCACAACCTCACCTTTTTATTGTGAGAACACTTAACGTCTGTTAGCAAATAGCAAATTTCAACTATACAATACAGAATTATCAAAATTATCAACTATAGTCACCATGCTATGCATTAGCTCCTCAGACCTTATTCATCTTATAACTGAAAGGTTGTACCCTGTTATTGGGGTGGTTTCTGAGGCCCTTTTCTGGGGTCTAGGGCATGTTCAATTTGGAGGAGCAAGCTGGGGGAAGGGCCTCCAGGCCTGATATGTTATTTTGGTACCACCTTCTCCATTAGTCCATGTTCTTTCTCTTCTGTCTAATTCTGCTTGAAACATCTTCTCTAGCCTTTAGGAGTTCTTCAACTTTTATTTCATTCTCCATTACTTTGCTTTAATTTTGTCCATCCAGATTGCCTGCACTCCACTTTTTAAAAAATATATGTTTTTATTGATTTTAGAGAGGAAGGAAGAGGGAGAGAAATGTTAATGATGAGAGAAAATCATTGATTGGCTGCCTCCTGCATGCCCCCCCTACTGGGGATGGAGCCTGCAATTCGGGCATGTGCCTGGGAATTGAACCCGGGGCCCTTCAGTCTACAGGCTGACTGAGCCAAGCCAGTTCGGGCTGCACTCAACTTTTAATTTCATACATAGAGCATTTGCTCCAGCTATAAAATTTGTACCTGATTTCCTGTGTTTTCTGTTAGAGCAAATAATTCTAGATGTTTCTGGAGGGCAGGATTTCACCCCCTAGCCAACAGGTATGCCACCCAGGTGATGCTTCTTAGAGGGTGCAAACCAACCAGTTCTCATCTTCCCAGGACTATCCGGGGCTCAGAGCTGCCTGTTTTGGAGCGAATTTGCCAAAAACTTGCAGCTGCTGCTCAGCCCTTCCGGAGGCTAGAGGCTTCCCGGGATCAGCTTCGCCAGCTCTTCAAGGTGGGTTGGAAACACACAGTTTTAGGAGGAAGACCAGAGGCCTGAGGGACGAGGTGGCTCTCCCTCGTCAGTCCCAGAAGTGATGGGATAAAGACTTGTCTTCACTCATCCCTTCTTCCAGGATAACCCTTTTAAGCTCCGCCTGATTGAGGAGAAAGTGACGGGTCCGACAGCAACAGTTTATGGGTGAGAGTGGTCAAGACGGAGAGAAATGGGGAGGTGGGGCGGCACTGACAAGGCCAGAGGGGGCTAAGGGAAAGGAGACAGAAGCTAATCTGTTGCTCCAGAAAAAGAAAGGGGACTGGGAATTGATTTTTATCCCCCGTTACTCTCTCTGTGGAACACGTTTCTTTACTTCCTCTTTCCGTCAGCGAAAGGCCAGGAGAGGGAGAAAACTAAGAACTGGGGAATTTGGAGACACTGATGGCCCTCTCCCTCCCAGGTGTGGCATGCTGGTGGATCTTTGCCGGGGCCCCCACCTTCGGCACACCGGACAGATTGGAGGACTGAAGCTGCTCACGGTCAGTTGTGGGGACAGGGTTGGGCGGAAACTCCCGTTTTCACTGGAGTAGCGGGGGATGGGAAGATAGTTCTCTCAGCCCCATCCATGCTCTGACGGTGAGCAGGGAATCCAGAGGGAGAAAGACACTTAGTCCCTGCCTTCTAGAAACGGAGTCTGGTGGACACAGGAACCAACTCGGTTTCCATAATTGGACATCACCGCTAAGGGAGACGGGGTGGGAGGGCGTGGACAGGCTGGGCAAGGTCTTACACGGCCGGCTCCTGTGGTGGAGAAGGTGGGGAATACCGTCCGACAGGCACGGGGAGAATACTCTAAGTCAAGGGCGTGTCTTTTATGAAAACACTGTTTCTGGGCAAGGTGAGTTATTAGAATGGGAGCAGAGGGCGAGGGGAGAGGCAGGCAGGTAGAACAGAAAGCGCCGGACTGAAACCCTGGCTCTGCCATTAAGGACGTTGTGGCCCTGGGTCCATCTCCTTACCTATTTCCCATCTATTGAAATTGACGGTTAATTCCTGCCAGTAAACCCACATCCAGAGACAGACCAACGAATGCAGGAGGAAGTGTTTGAGGGAAAGTTAAAAGTGCTATAAAGTGCAGGCTGTTTCTTATTAGTACTGTTCAAGGAAAGGGCAAGCAGAGGCAGGTGATTCCACGGGGCAGAGATAGGGAAGAGTGTGGGAGGTTGGTAAGGGGGTGGGTGGATGACACTTGACCGGATCCTCAGGTTAATCCCCTGAGCAATCATTGATTAGAAGGGGAGGAACGAAGGCCGGGGTGCTGGCAGGCAGCAGTGAGATTGCTCAGGATAATGTTAGGCCTGAGTGGGACGTATGTAGAAATCAAGAACCGGGCACTTTCAAGGCTATAAGCACCACATGCGTTGTCTGAAGGACCAGCCTGTGGTGTTGATGGTGGGAAAGTAGTGCATAACTGAAGCTCACACTGAGGTTTGCCAGAGCGGTCGGGCGGCTTCAGCCTCATCTTCGCATGGACTCCCTGTGCCCCCCGCAGAACTCGTCATCCTTATGGAAGGCCTCAGGGGCCCCCGAGACGCTGCAGAGGGTGTCCGGGGTTTCCTTCCCCACAGCAGAGGAGCTGAGGGCCTGGGAAGAATGGAGGAAGGCGGCAGAGTCACGGGACCACCGGCGCATTGGGAAGGTGCAGAGGTTGGGGAGAGGGGGGCTGATGAGAAGGGTTGGAACAAGATGAAGGGACGTGATTGTGACGTTGGGAGCAGACTCAGAATCCAGCAGACTGAGCGGCTCCATCCCTTATTTCTTCTGGTTCCAAAGCCCCTGCTTCCCCCTTGAAGTGACCACTGCCATTCCCGACCCAGGAACAGGAGCTCTTCTTCTTCCATGAACTGAGTCCTGGGAGCTGCTTCTTCCTGCCCCGGGGGACGAGGGTGCACAATGCCCTGGTGTCTTTCATCAGGGTAAGGGGGACCCAGCCAGGGGAGGGGGGCCAGGGAGGGGTTGGGGGCCTAGAAGAAGTCAAGTGTTAAAAGGGGGATTAGAAGCATAAACATAAATACTGTAAAGTGCTGGTGATTTTTATTGAGATACTAGAAATGTGTGGTCTACATTGGGGAACATAGAGAGTTAATATGGTGTTTAGTAGGTGTGGCTGTGATCAGCATGACTGAGGGCCCAGGAGAATCACACAGCTGCTCCCTTCCCTTCTCTCCCCCGGTCACTTTGACCTTTCATGTCTGTACCCTCCTTTCCAGGCCGAGTACACCCGCCGTGGTTTCTCAGAAGTAAAAACACCCATACTGTTCTCTACGAAACTCTGGGAACTGTCAGGACACTGGGAGCATTATCAGGAAGACATGTTTGCCCTGCAGTCCCCAGGCTCTGACAGGCCCACCAGCTCCCAGAGTGACCACTCTACCAGCCATCCCACAGACACGCTCGCCCTCAAGCCCATGAACTGCCCTGCACACTGGTGAGCTGGAGCCAGAGGCCTGGGTCCTCCAGGGCTGAGGCCAGGCACCCAGGCTGCTAAATATTAAGTGACAGGAAGCATCTGGGAAGAGTACTGGGCACCTGATTGGAGTCTTGAATCTGCCTCTAGCTGACCATGTGAATTTGGGAAGATCATTGTACCACTCTAAGCCTCAGTGTCCTTACGGTAACATCAAGGGTTTGGAGTTGCTGCCTAGGGTTTTTTCCCCAACTCAGCGCCTGTCACAGAACAGGCGCACAGTAAATGATGTCTGTTGTTGTTACTGAGAAAATCCCTTGAGTCACGCAGTGCTCCGACTGTGATGATGGGGATTGGCAGGACTCAGAGGCACGGCAGGCTGGAGGGGTCCTTAGCCGATGGTGTGGGGAGAGGAAGCACCCCGCTGGGCAGAGGAGCGTCTTCGGGAGCTAGTTCTCCCTGTGGCACTGACCCCTTCCCACCCCAATCTCAGCCTGATGTTCGCCCACCGGCCCAGATCCTGGCGAGAGCTGCCCCTGCGACTGGCAGACTTTGGGGCCCTTCACAGGGCCGAGGCCTCGGGCAGCCTGGGAGGACTGACCCGGCTGCGGTGCTTCCAGCAGGATGATGCTCACATCTTCTGTGCACCGGACCAGGTGGCTCCCCCGCTCCATAGGCATTTCTAACCACCGCCCTGCCCCCATGAGCCACCAACATTCCTGACCTCAGTTGCCCTCTTTAGATATTACAGTTCGGCTACGTGCTATCCCCAACTTTCCTCTATGTTTTTGCCCTCTGTTTGCCCCAAACTACCCTCACCCCAGAGCTCTGTCTAGCTCACACTCTCCCTCCCTTACTTCCTCCCCCAGCTGGAAGCAGAGATCCGGGGCTGCCTGGATTTCCTCCGCTCTGTCTATGCTGTCCTGGGCTTCTCCTTCCGCCTGGCACTGTCCACCCGGCCGTCTGGCTTCCTGGGAGAGCCTTGCCTCTGGGACCAGGCTGAGCAGGTGAGCAGGTGCAGGGAATCGGGTGGGTGAACCACTCTCCGATGGAAGGGGGACAGTTGGGAGTCAGGCTCCTCAGGAGAGGCGAATGCGGAGGCGCTCATTGCGGGGTTGGAGGGAAGTGCTGCTCATGGTCCTCTCCCTCTAAAGGTCCTTGAACAGGCCCTGGAAGGGTTTGGAGAGCCCTGGGACCTCAACCCTGGAGATGGTGCCTTCTATGGGCCTAAGGTAAGCTGGGGACTTTGGATAGAGTTTCATTTTTTGTTTTATTAAGTATTTAATAGATAAAAAGGAGTTTTTTTTAACTTGTGTATAAAGAGGAGTGATTCAGTCCCTACCCCCATGGGACCTATTGTCTGTGAGGACTGGGTGGCAGGCGCTAAGGGAGCTTGCTATTCAGGAGGGTCAGGAAAGGCCTCCTGCAGGACTCTTTCTAATGCGAAACGTGATTGTTGGCCAAGTAAAGAGGTGTTTCAGGAGGGAGAGTGGAGGCAAGGCTGGGGGAAGGGTGAAAACTGACTCACATGGCGAGTTGGAAGAAGTGAAAGAATCGGGGAGGAGGGGAGAGAACTGAAAAGTATCTGCTGTATTTAGTGAAAAGGCTGTTAGTTTTTGTTGGTTGGTTGGTTGGTACCAGTGAATGTATTTGAGAAATCAGAATTACATGCAGACAGATTTAACATGCCAGGAAAATGTTATTTTTCCATTAAGATACGTTATGAAAATTGGCGTGAGGTCAGTTTCACACCTGGAATTAACAACCCCTAGCAAAAGTACCAGCTGCTAATAATGTTAACTTATATATAACTTATCTACATGTTAAAATACACAACTGTTGGTGCCAGTCTGCTTATAAAGGCAGTGCTCTGGATGTATCTTCTCACAAACAGTGGGCAAACAGGTTTCATTATTAATGAATTCAACAATAATCCTGAATTCATTAAACAAGGTCCAACAATATGGTTTCTTCAAGAGGAATATCGAAGAATAAGAAATCTGTAGTATACCGTGTGGGGCAAAAGTGGGTTTTATGTTCCTTACGAACAACTGTAAGCCTGCTTGTGCCCCACCCTGTACTTTGTTACGAGCAGTGAATTTCAGAACGTTCTGTTGGTTGGTGCTTAGTTTACCCAGGCTTGACCCCCACAGAGGCAAGCTATGTGACCCTTTGCATGAAGAACCTTTTTGTGTATGTGGCAGCAGGGAGAGTCACAGACAAGAAAATTCTCATCATAACAGGCTGGGATTGAGAGATGAGTGGATACAACAGGTAGTGGCAGCTCCTCTAACAAGCTCGGGCCAGGAATGTTCTGCTTAACTGCAAGTGCGGTAACCTTTGGTGCAGCTCTGGTAAGAGCACTTGCCAGCAAAGCACATTGGTAAAAGCTTGCTGCTTCATGCAGCCCAAGAAGAGGCAGAGCAAACAGCAGAGCAGTGAGCTGTGAACAAGCGAGAAGCCACATTGCTGGGCCCAGTGGATTGGTCATCTGAATTGCACTCCGCCTGCCCCTTGAGGACGCTATCTGGCAACGAAAAGAGCAGAGCTGGGTTTTTAGAAAGACCAGAGCGAAGGAGTAGCTCAAGGCTGTTAGGTTTTGCAGGCCCATTTTTGGTAAAGTGGAGAGTGAGGGTGGAGGGAGGGAGGGAATGAATGAACCTAACTCTTTCAAGAACTTTGGCTGTTACAAAGGAAAAGAGAATTACTAAGGGCCTGAGTAGTCAAAATGCTTATGGAGGGCGAGACTTGAGAATGTTTAAATGCTGTCATGAGAGGGTGCCTGTTGGGGTCAGGGAGGAGTTGAAGTTGTGGAAGGGGTTTCAGTGAGGGAAGCTCTACTGAAGTGTGGCTTTGAGAGTCCTCCACCAAAGGAACAGCCTTTGCCATTGTTTGGGGCGTGCAGAAAGGCTGGGTAGGTGCAGGAAGTTCATAGGTGTGGTTATAGGATTTGAAACATTTCCCATCTCAAGATATTGTCTGAATTTTCCATGAAATAGGGGAAAGAGTCATTTGGTGAGATGGGAATGGGGGAGAGGAGTTTTCAGTGAGGGAGGTGAACATTGAAGAGAGAAGGGAAAGCTTGAAAATCCTTGAGGAGAATAGGACACAGCTGGTCAAAGCAGCCACAGACTTGGGGGCAGCAGCAAGGGTCCAGTTGAGGTTGAAACAGGGACTTGGATGGCGTCAGTCGTTTTGCATCTGTGTGGTGTGTGCCATGTTGGGTAGCGCTGAGCCATTCTGTTAAGAGCCAGGGAGGTGGGAGGGGAGGGTGCCACCAGGGGAGTTTGCCATGTGGATGTGATAGAGGAACAATGATGTCGGGAACCTGGGAGAGTGGGTACAGCTGCCTCGGGAAGAATCAAAGGCGGGAGGGGCCTGTGAACTGGAAGAAAAAGAAGCATTAAGGAACCTAGACATTGAAGAGCTATTAGCAGGAGTAATTGTCAAAGCTAGAAAACCAAGAGACGTATCAGAGCAGGGTGGACCGTTCCAGAGGTGCAGCCATTCTAGGCAAGGACAGGACAGGGGTGTAGCCACAGTGTGGGTGAAGGTCTCTGAGATGAGGCACTTGAGGAATTGAGAGGCCAGGGAGTGGATGGGTCAGTCATGTGGATGTGGGTGTCCCCTAATATTATAACACCACTGAGTCCCTGCCGAGTCAAGTAGAGTCTGGCACAGCGGGGTGACAGTCTCTCAGAGCAGCCTGGGGCATGGGTAGGTGGAAAGGGGGTGGCACTGGTTCTAGTTTCTCACAGGCCTCCCCTCTCTCCTCCAGATTGACGTGCACCTCCACGATGCCCTGGGTCGGCCCCATCAGTGCGGGACAATCCAGCTTGACTTCCAGCTGCCCCTGAGATTTGACCTCCAGTACAAGGGGTACAGAGCCTTGTCCGGACAAGTTCCCTTTTCCCGCGGCTGCCCATGGGATCACTGGAGAACAGCTTCCCCTTCTCCCTTTGGCCCTGAAAGTAACCAAATCCTCCACACCCTCCCCTGCTGAGCCTGAATATTTCTATAAGAACTGGCAGGTGATCCTGATTGCACAATTTGTGCTACTTCCTCCATTCCATCCACTTTCCTTTTTCCCTCTAGGCGAGCCGGGGCCCCGGAGCGTCCAGTCCTCATTCACCGAGCAGTTCTGGGTTCTGTGGAAAGGATGCTGGGAGTGCTGGCGGAGAGCTGTGGGGGGAGATGGTGAGACCCCCGACTCCAGACTTCTGTTCTGAGTCAGGCATGACAGTGCATGCCCCAGACCCTGCCCCCTTCAGACTCCAGCTTCTGTTTCCTGCTCCAGTCTGCTCGCTGCAGCCACCCTCATGGTCAGAGCCAGAATGAGTCATTTGTCCTCTTCTTCTCTCCCAACCAGGCCGCTGTGGCTGTCCCCATTCCAGGTGATGGTCATCCCAGTGGGGACCGAGCAGGAGGACTATGCCAGGGAGGTGAGGAGTTGGGGGCCAGGACAGGGCTGAAGCAAGACTAATAGGGACCTGAGCACATGCCTAGGAAGAGACCACCTGGGGTGGGGAGAGGCACAAGCACTTGGAACCACAAGGCTGGGCTCAGATGGCTGCTGGCCTGTGTGCTGGGGATTCCACACCTGAGAAACAAACTGGTCCCTCCTGGTGGAGATGTGTGACAATTAAATCAACATACATGAAAGGCTGACAACAGAGCACAAAAAGGGGTTGGATAAATGTTGCTTTTCCTTTGCTTTCTAGAGAGAAGGAAGGCTATGGGCTGTCCCCGCGTCAAGCAGCTGGTTGGGTGGAGTGTAGCCAGAAGCAGGCAGGCCAGGGAATCCCTGCAGGCTGGGCTCCACAGGAGGCAGACACAGAAGCTGCGGGGGTGAAGGCAGGGCCTCGGTGTGGAGACAGTGAGGAGGGGTATCTGTGAGACCCCGAGAACCTTGAGGCAGAGGAAGGGGGAACAGATGGGGCTTTGGTATCAGACTGTTCTACTCCTCAACCTTCCATTAAATTAAGTTCCTATCACCAAACCTCTGCCCAGGTACAGCAGAGCCTGCAGGCGGCGGGGCTGGTCGGAGACCTGGACGCTGACTCCAGGCAGACCCTCAGCCGGAGAGTCCGCGGGGCCCAGCTCGCCAACTACAATTTTCAGTTTGGTGAGTGACAGCTCAAGCACCCGCCCTGTACACTGTCCTCATTTTTATTAAGTTTGGTCATCTGCATATTTGGCTTAATTGGGTCTCAGTTCCTGAGCTGGACAGGAGCCAGGATTCAGGATGCCTAAGCCATTTGGACCACAGTTTTCTTCACCCCGACAGCTACCTCTGACCCACGGAACAGTGTTCTTCTGACCCTTCATCGCTGTCTGTTAGGTTAATTCACCAAGGGCGTGCCAGAGAGAAAGGGACAGGAAGGGTTAATAAGGCCTAATTAGTTAGCTTTGTTTATTCTAGACCTAGATGGAGTCAGCCCTCCTGGATGAGGAGAAAGGCCTTATGGAGACAAGTGTAGCTCTGCCTGTTCCTTTTTTCATTTTCCAATAAAAGCCAGGAGCAGACAGTCCTCGGCCAGATAACCTGATTCTCTAGTTCTGCACACCCACTCATGCTGCCAGCGCTTGGAGCAAGCTGCCCACAGCCCCGTGGACTCGCCGAGCCTTCCACCACTGCCACTTCCCCTTTCTCTAGTATTCACACACACAGGTGCACACACACTTCCTCTGGGTCAGCTGATCTTTGTCTTGCTCTGGCTGACCCTATTATCTCTGACCCCTGGGCTCCTGAGCTGAAATAGCTTCTTATCTCCTCAGCACAAGCAGGGAGCTGAAGGGCAAGAACCAGTAAAATATCCGTCCCCGCACCACATCGGGGCTTTGTTCTCACCCTTTCTAAAGATTTAGGTTCCATCGCTTCAGTTTCTGCATAGCAAAGGGAGACACCCCAGGTGGGTTACATCTGCCCTGAGATACCCACCCCCCTCTACTTGCAGTGGTTGGACAGAAAGAGCAGAGCAACAGAACAGTGAACATTCGGACGCGAGACAACCGTCGGCTTGGAGAATGGGACTTGACAGAGGCTGTGGGGCGGCTGCTGGAGCTGCAGAACTCCAGGGTCCCAAATGCCGAGGAAATTTTCTGAGCGTTTGCACAGTCACGTGACAGACCTGCAGGAGCCACCAGCCTCTCCGAACCCAGGAGGGGCCAACCTAACCGACAGAGTCTGGAGTCCCAGACCCTTTAGAACTTGTGTGGAGGCCTGAATCTACTCCTCGGAAAGAGATTTGATGTGGAGGAAGCCACAGCTGCTTGTGTGAGGAGATCGAAACTAAGCATAATAAACCTAAAGCTCTGAGGTTGTGTTGTCGTCTCTGACTCCTGATGGGGGATAAAAGGATTTTGACTTCGCCTCCCTCTCTTGTCCCAGGGCGATGGGGAGAGTGAAGAGGGACAGCCCCACCTAGCCAGGTGCTCTGCTGGTTGGAGCATCATCCTGTGCACCGAAAGGCAGTGGGTTGGATTCCTGGTCAGGGCACATACCCAGGTTGCAGGTTCAATCCCTGGTTGGGGTGCACGCAGGAGGCAACCAATTGATGTTTCTCACATGGATGTTTCCCAAATTAAGGGACAACCCAGGCTCTGGCCAGTTAGCTCAGCTGGTTAGAGTGTTGTCCCGATTACCAAGGTTGCAGGTTCAATCCCTGGTCAGGACACATAACAAGAATCAATGGATGAGTCCTAGCTGCTGTGGCTCAGTGGATAGAGCGTCGACCCTGAGACTGAAGGGTTCCCGGGTTCAATTCCAGTCAAGGGCACGTACCTTGGTCGCAGGTTCCCCGGCCCTGGTCGGGGCTCATGCAGGAGGCAACCAATCCATGTTCTCTCTCACATCGATGTTTCTCTCTGTCCCTCTCCCTTCCACTCTAAAAAGCAATGGAAAAATATCCTCGGGTGAGGATTAACAGCAACAAAAATCAACCAATGAATGCATAGACAAGTGGAACAAAATAATACCTCCCTCCCTCTCTCAAATCAATAAAAGAAAAAATTAATAAAAAGGGCAGCCCAGGCCTCTCACTGGTTAGGGAGCCCCTAGGGTAGGTGTCCTGTTCCCACTAAACTTAGTGCCGTTTCCCCAACCCCAATTCAGCAGGTTGTCAGTTCCCTTCACCTGCAAACAGAGAAACTGAGGCACAAAATAAATTTTCAAACATCTTGGGGTCATAAAAATGTTCCCCTCTCATTACCCCCATTCTTCTCAATCCTCTCAGGATGCCTCAGGGTGAGTTTGGGAGGAGTGGCTGCCGGAGGGGGAGCAGCTGGGACTGAGTCACGGCAGGAAGCTGAGGAGGGCGGGAGCTATTCCCACATCACCATATAAAAGGAAGGGGGCCGGCCTGAGCGCACTACCGCAGGAGCAGCAACCAGAGGAGCGGGTTCCCAGCAGCCCGGCCTTCTACTCCACATCTACCTGAGGAGACACCTCCCGGGTGGCCACTGGCCAGTCCTTGCCCCAGGATGGGCACCATGTTCGGAGCAGCCTTGGTCTTGGCCTGTTTGGCTGTTACTTCTACAGCCTCTGAAGGAGGTGAGTTGGGGTTGGAGGGAGCCCTTGGGAAGGGGTCCTGGCCAGCGGGGGCCTGGGCCCGAGTCCAGCCATCCCAGGTGGCTCATGGCCAGCAGGTTGATTCTCCAATTGCTCCTGCTGTTGAGCAGGCCCAAGGTGGGCCTGGGACTGAAGCCCTGAACCAGGGAGGGCTCAGGAGCACAGGAGGGGTTGCTAGGGACTGCTGCTGCTCGAGATTGTGCCTAGTGATTGCTGCCAAGAAACGCAAACTTGGAGTCAAAGGCCAACTGGGGCGGGGGTGGGGAGGTGGACTCGCTGAGGGAGGCCTCTGCCTGAGGGAGATGTATGTGGGACCAATTAGGCAGTGGAAAGTGGAAGGAGGGCCCCCAGGCGGCTGGAAACCAATTTGCTGACCTAGAGTCTGGACTACCTCCCTGCCTGGTTGGGAGAAGAGTTGAAAGGGTGCCCGTGCCCAGGAGACTGGACACAGCTGCCCTCGAGCACACACACCTGACCCGAGTGGATGCTGGACAAAACGCTCCCGAGGGAAGCTGTGGGGAGCAGCACAGTTCTCTGTCTGTCTGCAAAGGCCCCTCTCGCTGCCCCTCCTGGGTCCTAGGCTTCGTGAGTGCACGTCAGCCAGGCGATTCCTTTCCATCGCAGTGCCCCGTCCTCAATCGACACCTAAGCTAAGGAGGACCTGGGAGTAGCTAAGGGTGAAGGAAGCTTAAACTTCTGGGTAGGCGTCTGGTCAGAAGGCCCTGGAATAGGAGGGTCCTTTCCCTCTGAAGACGAGGAGCACCACAGCAGAGCGGCTGCGGGAGGGCCGCCCCGAAGTCCTGAGGGAGTGACCCTGACAGGAGAGGAGGGCCTTCCTCCCGGCCCCATCCGTCCCCTTCTCTTGGGCCCGGGCTTGGGAGACCCTAGGCTGTGCGTCTGATGGGGGTGAGGCTGTCAGAGTAGCCCAGGCTTGCTCAGAGCCCAGTGACGCACGCCAGGAGTGTTTGGGGGATGGATTAGGGGACATGGGGCAGGAGCAATAGGAGGGGCTGCTGGTGTCTTCGTCCGCTTTCCTGTGCTCCTGATCTCTCCTGCCTCCCCACCCCGTGCTCAGAGCCAGGAAGGGCCTCTCAAAACCACCCTGACTCACCCTTCCTCACTCCAGGCTTCAAACCTTCAAGTCAGAGGGAGTTGGGGCCAGAGTACCTTCAAGAAGGTAAGAGTTTGGGGGAGTGGCATGGGATTAGGGGTCAACTAGGAGCTGTAGGCACTGACTGTCTCCCTTCTCGCCTCTAGTTGGCTATGCAGCACCCCCTTCCCCACCCCTGACACGAGCCCGCCCCAGGGATCACCCTGACATCTCTCTGCATGACCCTGACTTTGAGGGACAGAGTGAAGGTAAGTCCACCCCTTCCCCCTCTGGGTATCTAGTCTGGCTTCCTTCCCCCCCCCCACACCCCCATCTTCAGGGAGGGAGGGGAGAGCAGGCCTGGCCCTGTCTCCTCACCTGGCTCGAAGGAGTGGGCTCCTCACACCCTCCCCTTTTGCAGTGCGGCCCTTTTCCTCCTTTGACCAAGAGGAGCAGCTGTTCTCTCCCCAGCTCCTTGTGAGGAGTGGTGAGTGCTGGCCCGTTCCCGCGCCTCCAGCCCACTGTCCTCCTGCTGGCATCAGTCTGATCCTTGCTCCTTCGTGTCCTCCCCCTCAGGATCCCTCTCTCTCTCGGGAAGCCAGGCAGAGGATCCCACAGGCCCCGGGAGAGTCGTCCCTGTCCAAGAAGAACTGCCCCCTCCCCCCGGCCCTATTGAACAGAAGGAAAGTAAGTGACTCCCTCTTCTCTGTACCCTTCTGCCTGCCCCTGGCTTTGGGGCTCTGCCACTGACTAGCTGTGTAAACGTGGGTAAGTCACCTCTCCAAGCCTTAGTCTCTTCATCTGTCACATTGGGGAAATAATATCTATTTTATAAAGTTAGGAGATCAACTGGCATAAGAATAGAAACTATTTTCACTTGCTTCTCTACTGAGTCCCTCTCTATGAATAGGAACTGGCCAGGTTCCCCTCTTTTAGAGAGCGCCTTCCCAATGTGAGTTTTGCTTACGCATCTTCTCCCACCTCAGTGGACGCACCACCGCTCCCAGCACAGGAGGAGAGGACCAGCCCACCTAAGCAGGGAGAGGGTGAGTGACGGCTCTGGTCTGTCCCCCTGCTTTAGTGTCAGGACCCTGCAGAGGGGTGCAGGGAGCAGGCCTGGCTTAGGGGGACAATAATGGTGACACCTTTCATATCTCGGTCTCTTTTCCTTTCAGCTACTCAATCTGAAGGTAAGAGCCACAAATTCCTTTCTTTCTCTTCCCCCATATCCTCTCAATCCTTTCTCCTCAACCCCAAGTTCTTTCAATCCTCCCAACTCATTCAGCCTTTCTCTACCCCTCCACGCGATCCGCCTGCCCACTTGGTTTTCCCGACTTTAGAAAAGCCAGCTCCCATCTCGCAGCACAGTCCAGGCCAGCACTGCCAACAGGGTGGACCCCAGAGGTGCTGGGGCCAACGGCTGGATGGCTTCCCTCCTGGGCGGCCTTCTCCAGACAACCTAGACCAGATCTGCCTTCCTACTCGTCAACACGTGGTGTATGGCCCTTGGGACCTGCCACAGTCTGGCTACTCCCACCTTAGTCGCCAGGGTGAGACCCTCAATATGCTGGAGACTGGATATTCCCGCTGCTGCCGCTGTCACTACTATGCAAAGCGCATGGATTGTGCAAAACTTGTGGTAAGGATCGGGCTTGTAGTCCTAGGGTGTCCTTTAAACCCCAGACAGTATGTGTGTGTTTTAAGGACTGGAGGCCGAGGCCTGGGTGTGCAGAAACCTCCTTGGTCCTGTGTTGGAGAGCGGAGGCAGTCTCTGCTGCTTTCCGACCTCTCTGCCCAGAGTCCTTTCCTGGAGCCTGGGAGGAAGACAGGAATGTGGACGAGGGCTGCTAGGCTGACCCACCCTTCTTCTCTAGTGGGAGAACGCAATGAACCAGTACTGTGAGGCCGAGTTTTCGGTCAAGACCCGACCCCACTGGTGCTGCAAACAGCAGGGGGAGGCTCGGTTCTCCTGCTTCCAGGAGGAAGCTCCCCAGCCACACTACCAGCTCCAGGCCTGGCCCAGCCCCCAGCCTGTTATATCCACGGGCCTTGAGCTGCCTTTCCCCCCGGGGCTGCCGACACTGGACAATATCAAGAACATCTGCCATGCAAGACGCTTCCGCTCGGTGCCACGCAACCTCCCACCTACTGACCGCCTCCAAAGGCAGCTGCAGGCTCTGACCCGGCTGGAGGGGGAGCTCCAGCGCTGCTGCCGGCGGGGGAATAACCACACCTGTGCATGGAAGGCTGTAAGTGGGCGTCCCAGCCCCCCGGAGAGCCTGTCTGCCTGCCCACCTCTGACCTCTGATCCTGCTGGTCCGTTCCTCCACGTACCTCCCCACTGTGAACACGTTTACCCGTCCGTCTGCTTGTGAATGTCCGCCCATCCGTTGTGTTCGTCTTGAGCCTTCTGCACTCCTGGCCTCGTCCACCCGTGGTCCCACATGTGTACCTGTCTGCCACCCGTCCATCCATCCAGCTCTGGCCTCACCCAACCCTCTCCATCTACCGGTCCAGCTCATCTCCCGTGGCCAGCTCCGAACCTCACCTGTGCTTCTACCTTCCGCCTCCCCAGCCTCACACATCCACAGCTGCCTCCTTGCCCTCTGGTTCTTTGTCCTTCTCTTTTGGCACCTGGGGTTGGGAGTCCCTCTCCTTA